GACCACATGGCACTGCAGACCTCTCCTGACCCGCCCGCTGCTCCCCTCAGCAGTGTACTTCATAGAGATGCCTGTTCTGCTCCCCATTCTGTCTCTGGTGAAGCTTCTCACCGCCCCTGAGCCTCTGGCCTGTACCCCAGTTCTGTATGTACAAAGTAAAAATAAAACCTTAAAAAAAATTCTTTGTGAATATTTGGTTAATTTCAATTTAATTTGACATTAAATGCCTACTGTATTGAAAAGATATTAGAGGGGAAAAATAATTACTAAAGTAGCTTATATTTACAGTGCTGTTTGCAAAGCACTTTGAGTGTGCATTTTCCTATTTCATTTTATTAGTAACTCAAAATAGTAGATAGATTTATTTCCACTTTTCATGAAGAAATAGAGCTCTTGAAAGATTGCAGCTTAATTTCGGCCACATAGCTAGTGAGTAATAGCTTAAACATGAAGAGAAACATAAGCTTAAAATTCAGTACTTTTTAATATGTGGTATATATACAAAAAGGAAAAATAACCAAGAAACAAAAAAAAAAACAAAAGAACTTTGCAACAAAAAGGAAGGAACCGGAAAGGGATCATGCTTAGTGAAATGAGCCAGAAAGAAAAAGAAAAATACTGGATGGTTTCACTTATAGCAGGAGTATAATGGACCAGTTGAGAAAATAAAATAATAATGAACAAATATACCAGAGACATTTTACAGGGTTGGAGTGGGGAATGGGATCAAAAATGGTGGAGGCAGGGGGGAAGTGCACTGGGCTGTGGTGATGGCATATGGGTGATTTGAAGCCCATATGGTGATGGGAAGCCCACGGGGATTATAACTGAGATGGAAAAAGGCACAAAATGATGTAAAAATAAACATATTATAAAAACAAAAATAAAAATGGTCCTCTAAAAAAAAAGTTCAGTACTTTTTAATTTTCCCTCACTCTTGCTATGAGTGACAAACTAATTTATATATAGGCCAGGCCACAATGGGTATGTTTTAATTTACAAACTCAATATTTATCTTCGTCGTTTCTCTTAAGTGATGAAAGCATAAGAATATGATCAGCTCATGAAGTGATAGCGATGTTGAAACGTCTGTGTGAATACTGATAAGGCGCTTTTCCTTACAGTGTTCTTTATCAGAATGCCTGCATGTATGGAAAATAATCATGCCACGTATTTTGCTGTTTATTGGGGAGTGTGTTGCATGTGACTATGGAACATAGTACCTACTCTTAGACACTGTGTTTTTTATTATCAGTGTGAAGGGTATGTCAAGCACCCTTTCTGAATATGTACCATTGAGTTACTTTCTTATGGTGTTAGGGACGATGTTTCTACAATGCATTCCCCCTTTTACCCATAAACTTTAAAAGGTTCAGTGCCAGGAAGAACAGAACTGTATCTTTATTTTCTCATCACATCCTCTCTTGAATAGATAATACTTTCATTGCTTTCTTTCCAAGTTGGCTTTGAGTCACTTCTGTGATTCTAGCTGTTGAACAGTCTTTCAAGTTAGCAATTAGTATTCTGGTGAAGTAAAATTTGTTGTGAAACTGCCATTCTTACCAGTGTAACTAAGGTGGTTTTAATAAATAATTTATTAAGCTCATGTTGTTGGAGGTATATGATAGTTGTCTTTCACAAAACTTCCTTAAGTCTTGATACTTGTAATTTCTTGGAAATTAAATCTTAAAATTAATCATCATAGTTTCAAGGTTGGAGAAGGCAGTAAGTTCTCAAGTTCAATATGGCCATATCTATGCCATTTGATATTTCAAAAGAAATCTTGAACTGTTTAGTCTGTCTTTATTGTTTTCTTACTTGATTAAATTTTACTGCCATGTAAATGAATAGATTCAAAGGAAATGATCTAGTTAGTTTGAGTCATAAATGGGACCCACAACTTGGGAAAACCTTGATAACTACCAGGTAACACCTCCTCACTGAACATGTCAGCTCTTTGTCTGAGCATATTGTACTGTGGCCCAGTATGCGAACTAATTCCCTCCAGTTAAGAAAAGTAGTCTTACCTGTGTTACACCTAATGCCAAGATTTTTGAAAGATAGTGGCGGGTTTCATTAAAGTATTTATCATATAAAATATAAAATTTGCTAGTTAGAATTTTTTAACATTAAGATGCACTGTTTTAAAATAGTAATTTACTATTTAACAAACCCTGACTCTCTTAGCATACTTCATTGCTTAGTCCTAACTTTTATTTTTAGAACACAGTTTATTTAAAGACCAATCTCGCTGCTGAATTTGACAGGCTTGACGTGAGTCCAACCTAATGAACCCAGAGGGAGAATTTGCAGAATGAGAATCTGGGAACAGACCTTCAACTTCTCTGCTATCCATGTGCATTCCTGCTTAGTGGAGATTTACTTAAAGTTGACTGTTTTCATCTTCTGTGCCATCTGATTCCAATCTGCGCTTGTCTTTTATAGCTAGAGACGGTTGGATGGCAGCTTAACCTTCAGATGGCTCACTCTGCTCAAGCAAAACTGAAATCTCCTCAAGCTGTCTTACAGCTGGGAGTGAGCAATGAGGATTCAAAGGTAAGGACTGGTGGCCCACTTAGATGATGCCTGTTGTTTGTAAGGTCTTGTATTTTATGATTAGCAGGGTCTTTGGTCTCTGGGCTGAGAGTTTAAACCTAACTCTATCAAAATTATGGAAGGCCAACAGATGGACAGATCTGTATTTGGGACAGATTTTGAGGTCAGATTCACATAACTGCTGCTTGAAGAAATTGCTTGTCTCACAAGGTGCCTTTCTAAAATTCTTGCAAGAATTTTAAAATGTGTTTTAAATTCTGCAGGAGAAACAAGTGGTAATAGCCACATAAAATGTAGGTATTTGTGGTTATGCCCAGGTATTTTGTTTCTTCATCTGCATACCTGTGGTAGAGGAGATACTGCCGTCTCTCCAGTGCCTGGAGTATGAAGATGCTGGGGTTGTGTGTGTGTGTGTGTTTGCAATATTTGTATGCATGCGTTTAAATCTCAGCTTTTGCAAAATAGAATTTTGGATGAGTTTTATACTGCACGCTAATTTCCTCTTTAATATTAATTTTGGAGAACGTGGATATGTTATGAAAGGTTAGAGAATTATTTAGGCAGTTTTTCTTATTTAATCATATAGATAAATGTGCATTTCAGATATCTTGAAATGTACATTTCAGATCAGATATCTCTCTTATTTAATTTTTTAAGATTGAAAAGGGTGAGTGATAATATCCCACCTAAATGAATGAAGTTTTGTCTCATCTCAAGGCATAATAGAGGTGAGTGTCTGAGGGAGACCTGAGGAAGGAGAGATTGCTGTCATTGGCTTATTCAGAGCACAGTAGGAGAAATATCATTTTTAGTGGATATTGATATTGAAGGATGATGATAGTGCAGCTTTATTATTAGCACCTTTGCTATGTGCTTCAACATGTGTGTCTCTGTCTTCCCTAAGAGCTGGGACCAGTGCCTGTGCCAGGTTCTTGTAGGCCGTTCAGTTGGGTCTTATTATGTACTTAATTTATAAATTCACTACGGTGTTTCAAAAGAAACACTTCATTTCAGTTTTCACCAGAAAATACATAACTTAATTGTTAGGAATTAAAGTGGTGTATTCTAGATGCTTCACAGCAGTGGCATAGCTTTGGGCTGGTCATTTAATCTTTATGATGGTCAGTTTCTCCGTCTGTGAAATGGGATAATGTTATCTCTTACACGGAGTTTTTATGAAGACGGGTACCCAGTGTCTGTAGTGTTTAGTCTCACCCCTAGTATTGTAGCAAATACTCAGTTAGTGCCCAGAAGGTCACAGTTTTGGTTCACTGAATAAGTAAATATCTTTGTTTTAAACTGAAGCTCTTACTAAATTTATTTCCTGAAAACATTACCCTTTTTTTTTCTTACTTTCTTCATCCTTTTTATTTATTTATTTATTTATTTGGTTATAGTTTTCACATTTATGCTTACTAGGAATTGGGGAAGTAAAAGAAAGCCTGACAAGTGCCTTTACTCCTCTGCTTTGACCTAGGGAAGACTTCTTAAAGTTTCGGAAAACCACCTAGAAGTTGCTGGTGTGGAGGAGCTATTTGTATTCCAAGCTATGGAATAGATACGTGCATACAATTCTCTCTGTATCTCACTGTTACAGCTCTCATGGCTGCCATATGTAAAGTCTGAGGAGCTAAAACAACTGGCACTGGGCTGAAGGATACTGCTTTGACCATCTGTTGGCTATGCTTAAGCATCACACCCAGCAGTGAGCGTCTTTGGGGTTCTTGCGTCCTCCTAACTCCTTTGTTAATGTTTTCAACATAGGTCTATTACAGCTTTTAGGCAGTAGGAATGAATGAATAATGCTGCTAGTAAAAAAGAGTCATGTTTTCAAGTTATACTATTCAGGAAGTCAGCACTGATGTGAAATCTAGCGCATTCAAGATACGGGCTTGAATGCGTGTTGTTTTTCTGTATGTTGCTAGTTTGAAGTTTCGAATGAACACTGGGTTGTCCTTATAACTCATAGAACTAGGGTACCTATTTTATGAACAGACACACACTTTGGAAGAAAGCAGTGCACAAATGTAAAAGTTACTTTCGTTTTGCGGGTACCTGAATGAACCTCTTTCTCTATTGTTCCCGCCTCCACAGTGTTGTATGGATTTGGTTCCTATTTCTGGTAGCTCCTGGATTTTTGGCACGTCATGGCGTGTACTACCACCGGACAGAAAGGTGTTGCCTCCAGGTGACGCATTGTGTCCTGGCTTAAGGGACACTTCTCTACCAATCCTCTTCTGCTCAGTGAACTGCTGCCTGGGGTTTCGGGTTTTGTGTACAGTCTCCCTGCTTTTATGATCTGCTCTTCTAGTCTTTGTACCCCTTATTACCTCTGGTGCCTGGGTGCTAATTTTTATGTAACTCCTGTTACTAAGGACCACACACTTTTTTACCCTCAAATATTTGGTCTGTTCTGAAATGAGAGTTCAGTATTTCTTGGCAGGTTGGAATACTAGGTAAAAGGGGGCATGTTTTAAAAACTGACTTTGTTCATAGACGATAGAGCCTTGATTAAAAGGAGGATTTAAAGTGCTCACTACTTCGTTTATGATGTAAAGTACCCTAAAGCATACTTGTGACATTGACATTTTTTTTTAAAGCAGAGTGCACTAGATAAAATCCTTTTAAATCTATGTTTTACAGTAGTTGTCCTGAAAATATCCTTGTAGTAAAACAGTTTCGAGACGATTAGAGTCAGTGCAAATTGAGACTATTTTGATAGCATTTAATTTTGAGCAAAGGAGTTGCAAATGTATTGCAATTCACTGCAGAATGTAGTTTCCAAGAATCTCTTTCTTCTCATCCACTTCCAACATACACATGCAAAGTGTATGTGTGCAGGTACAGCAGCAATCACACTAGATAACATTGTTGTGCTCGTCTCCTTTCGCTTAGAATGTTTCTGTCTCAAGGCTTTCCTGTTTTGCTACTAATTTTATCATGAAAGCTGGGTGATTATAGCTTTTCCTATGGTGTTTTGATATATTGTCTAGTTGTTTTCAGTTAATTGTCGTAGTGTCTGTCTACTACTGCATTTAGCAACTCAGATTATTTTCCTTTTCACAGATACCTCGATAACAGTTTTCTTGGTAATTTTTTTTTTCATTTATTTCAATAGGGGGCAGTAGAACTCTTTGCTTTACCTCATCTCTGGCATTCACAGTGTTACTTGAAATAACATTAAGAATTAATTGTGAAGTCAGTAGTTGTGGGAAATGTTGTGTTTACATTTCTAAACTGTATATAACAATACAGTTATCTTGTTTCCATCAACAAAATTAATGCCTATTAATCAGATATATACAGAACAAATAAATGAAATCATTATGATTTTAGCCTTGGATAATTTGTATAGGATCAGTTGCCAAGATGAAATTTATTATAAGGCTTTTTACACTACTGACTTTTTTGTTACATTCTGTTACTGTATTAATTTTTTTAAAGGAACAAAGAGAATAAAATAATCCCCATGCTAGTTAAATGGCTCCATTAGGTTGTAATATAACTAGGTCCAGACTAAAAATAGGCAGTTGAAATTTCTTTGTGTATAGAGAATAGCAGTTTTGTATGTAACAAGTGGTGATTTTAAATGACATAGACACTTGAACTTTGAACATCATAAACACTGAAATAATTCATTTTTTCTATTAATTTTTGCATTAGTGCATATCCCCCAGTACATTTCTCATCAAGACAGTCATGCTTTATTAATACAGTGATTCTGAAGTTTTTGTGATTTTTTTTAAAAGAAGGAATCCTTATGTTTCAATTGCAATGGGGATGAAATCACTTCCACAGGAGAACTTGCATTTATCTGAATGTTAAATTGGAATCTGCTGAGGTTGCAGAAGGTACTTCATGGATGGGTAATTATGGTTTCTAGCAGACTAGGTCTTTCAGTACTACTTTTCTGTTGTCTTCTTAAATCTTTAAAGGGACTCTTCTAGATCTGAATTGTTTGTATTATTCTTATTTTATAGATGGTGAAAGGGGGACACAGAGAGGTTTAATTATTTATGAGTTATGCTGCTGATAAAGAATAAAGAGGTAGGACTTGAAGCTGGGAAATTTTGAGTCCTAAGCTATATTCCTTGTAAGGATACCATATCATTTTATTAGTAACTTTGCAGTTGAACCTTTAATGTTTATGTATGTTTCAAAATGCTGAAAGTATCCAAAATGCACTGATAATTTTGTCGTTCATCTTCTTATTTAAATTGAAATAATTTTACACTTTCATTCTGTGAAAGACATTAATAAACACTTTCATGTAGTAAGTACAGTTGTCGTTTTTGAAGTTGTTGTGAGTTCAGTAGAGGCTTGGTAGAGGTCCATCTTGTGGTTAGGTTTATGCGCCGTCATTGATATTGATGCCTTAACAAAGAAAGAGACAAAATGTGATGTCTTAAGTATCATTAAAGAGAAAGTATATCCTTACATCTCTAACATTTTTCAGTCAGAGAAAAATATGATGTTCAAATCATGAGCACTTATAGATATAAAAATATCTTGATTTCCCGACACATTATGTTTGTATTGACTGATTCTGGAAGACCTTCAGATTTTTCTGAGCTATTCCTTTGAGCAGGTCTGAATTTCACAGACATGTTTTTATTCATCTATCTATATAGTGAATGCCTTTTTTTTTTAGCATACTGCCTCTAATAATAAAGTTTATTTTTCTCTATTAGAATTACTGTACATCTACAGCAGACATGGGGGATAATATATTTTTTAAAAGTTTCTTAAAGCCTCTCAGTGCCCACAATGCTGTTATGTTTTGCTGTGTGGTCTTCTGGTTATTTTCCCCTATATGTCTATTAACTTTTAAGTTGTTTTTAAAAAGTAACAATTTTTGTATTTGACCTAAGTGGCAAAAATTGAAGTTTTATTATTACTGTTAAATACTTGATATGGTTATGAGAAGTTAATCTCATTTATTATCCAGGTTTTCTTTTTTCCTTTTTAGTAAATAGCCATTCTTTTTTTCTACTTGGCGA